TCATTACAGCAATGACAGTTGAAAAAATGTTATTCAAAGATTTTGTCAATTTGACAATGATATAGATGTCTGCAGACACTTATCTGAAGATATCATTATTGAAGTAAAGAACCAAGTAGAAGAAACAAGTGATGAAGACAAGGAAGAAATAATTCCTTTCAAGGAAAAAATCCTGTTCTCCTCCTACATATAGAGTAATCAAAAAAGCTCTTGAACTTTTAGGAGTTTTCTAGAAACTATATCATTCATAAAACAAAATGCTTTCAAAGTAGTTGACTGTATTGAAAACATTGATGACAATCTTTTGTGATAGAATTTTTTCAATAATAGTGTCAATATTTTGTTATACAAATATAAACATCCCTTAACCCAATCATTGATTAATGTCAAACAAATCTGCTAGATTATATCGGGTTATAATGAGAGTTTCCTGTTATGTGATTTACTAGCTGACAATGGCAAGAGAGAAGAGAGGTTATATGTGTGTAGTGGTAGTACTGAAGCAAGACACTGTTTTAGTATAAACTGTTTATTAGAGTATGACTTCCTTACAAGATTTTGTCTTTATATCATATGAATCAATTCCTTTGCATGAAAGTCCTAAAAGGGATAAGGTGATCTTTCTAGATGTTTTCTTGTATAGATTCTTTCCCAGATTTTGTCATCATTTCAGCTTTGGCAGAATTGTACTCCATTGAGCCTACAGTCCTGTGTGGCTTCCAGGATAAATGAATAATGTTGATGCTCCAAAAAAAAAAGGAAACAGTGTGAATGGAGTCCAGTGGTTTAGTAGTCATTGAATTCCATGGACACAAAAAGTTGACAGATAATACCAAGCACCAGGGACAGATCTTGGTTAAAGTCTCTGATGTGTCATGGAGACACGTGTTTATATCTGTCTGGTTTCATGATCATCTGTCTTGACTGGTCTTGGTTTCACTCTTGATTTGTTTCATATTTGTTTCCAAGGAAAATTTGAGATTAGCTTGGATATAGGCAAGGTTGATGTCTTAACTTGATGTTGAATTTCAATCCCAACCTGAGATGGTTAATCTTAGGACTGACTTTGGTCATATCAGTTCTTCTCTCATATAATCTTAAACAAATATATTTTGTCTTTTTATAATCTCTTTCTTTCCTTTCAATTCAAAAATTTTGTCTAAATTTTGATGAAGAGTTCAGATTCTGTCCAGAGCCTCACAATAATATGGTTACTATCAGTGATGACATTCGAAATATTTAACAAAGGGTTCGCTAACAGAAAATTTTTCCTTAACAATTTTTTTTTCGCTCAAATGGTGCCTCTAGTTTAGTAGTGTTACAGAGTATAATACGTATATTTTAATATTTTTAAAAGAATCAAACCATTGAGAAATGTTACATGTGTTTAACAAGGTTCTGAAAACTTTGAAAATGTTAACAACGGGTTCGGCCGAACCTGTGCGAACCCGCTGAATATCACCACTGGTTACTATTTAATTATTAAATATAATCTAGCAAATAATTTGACATCAAAGTCTTGTTATTTTGTCCATAAATATATTTGTTGTAAATTCTGACAACATTAAAAAATAACAAAATATAATGTATTTAAGTCTAACTATATTGTTGAATTGCAATATTTATGATCTCATTAAAATAATGGTAGTTTCTGTAATGCAAAATTTTGTTAACTTGAAAATTTTTTTTCGTCCCTTCCAGAGACAAAAAGTTAAGTTACCAAGAGTCTATTGTAATAATTTATCATCTAATATTTGTATTATTAAGTAAATTTTATCTCATTGATATGAAGTATTATGGCGTTTTTAATTGTGAAAACTCACAGAATTAAATGTTATCATCTTTTTTTGTCAATATTTTAGGATTATCCCCACTCAAATACTATTAAACATTCCCTTTGTCACTTGTTTTGGTACCTTTCTTAAGATCTGTAACAGAATAAATTATTAATGCAATTTTTTTAAGTTTATTACAAAAGCTTGATTTAATGAACAGTATGTTGCTAATTTTCTCAATGTTAAATTTTCAAAATAAAAAAAATTCATTGTACTTAAACTGTAAATACTTCACATGCTTTTGCTCCACTTTTAATTCCAATGAATATAAATCTGAGAGCATTTTCAAGTTTTCAAACAAGAAATTTTAAAATTCTTTAAAACTGAAAATATTTTAGTTTTTGCTTTTTAATAAAACAAGGATTTTAATTAAAGTAATGTCTTGAGGTTATTTAAATTCTGGTATAAGCATGTATAAGGCTAAATAAATACCAATTATAGGATTATAAGTTCTTAAATTTAAATCATCATAAAATATTTTCAATATGTTTTAGATATATCTGATATATAATTTCTTTAAGAAAATACAGTAATTTAATTAATACCTAGTTATTAATTTAAACCAAACATTAATATTTTATTAAAATTATTCCATATTATTATTTACTTATTAAAACAATTTAGCAATGTAAGCAATAATATCACTATCCTGTAATAAATTTTAATGATAATTTTTTTAGTAATGTATAATTAAATTTTGAAAATTCTAGAAATTCATTGGCATGGAGAGGATTTGTTCTTTAAATATTGCTCATATTCTGGTTGCATTGATAGTTGTTATCTGAATATACTGAATTGAAATAGTACTGCCTAATGTTTATTAATTTTATATATATAATATATTTAAACATAATAGGAATCAGGATGGTATAAGTAATATGATATATTCTATCTTGCAGGATGATATGAACTTGTACTAAAGTGGATGCTGTAGTTTTTCTTTGGCTATATTGTTGAATTGCAATATTTATGATCTCATTAAAATAATGGTTGTTTCTATAACTCATTCTGTTTCTGTAACTGGGATCAGGGACCTATTCACAATATATTTATTTGACAAGCTGAATAGCTTTCTGTCAAATAATTACTTGGTTTAATTCTTAAAATAATGCAGCTAAATATGTTTCTAACAATGACTGCCATTTTTCTCAAACTAACATCAGAAATTATAGTTTTGTAAAATCTAGTTATCTCTAAATAGGACAACAAAGAAAGGGATAGGTAAAGGGATAGCTGTACTTTTTTTTTTACATAATCATAGTACTTAAATGATGAAATTTCAATAATATAATAAATTCATTAAAAATGTGTTTTTTTGTGTTTGGAATATTAGAAGCTGGTAAAGCAAGATTTTGCTGATTAAGAGTCAGATTTGGTAATACTAAGAATACGTTAACTCTTCCTTGTGCCACCATTTGATGTTTGTGAAAACATGAATTTGCATATGTCAATTATGCATAAAACTTTTGTTTAAACTGCAATAGCATAACTGATAATGTATTCATATTTTGATAGTTATGGATTTTAATCTCATGCCATGTTTTCTTAAATTTTTCAATATTTAATTAAATTATCTTAATTTATTTAATCATTCAAGTTATCACCAAATAATGGAACATCTATCTACAATGCTAAATTGGTACATAAATTAGCTATCAATAATGCAATATAATTTCTATGAAATATTAACTTATATAGTTTAAGTGATATTCTAAAAGTAAAAGATCATAAAAATATGTTATCTTACTAGTGTTTTATGATTTTAAAGTATATAGTACATATAATTCAAACCAGTTTGACTCTTTTATCAAATTTAAGTTTAAATTACTGGATTATCATGAGGATGCATTAAGCCAGTTTTGATGATAATTAATTAAAACTGGTTTTAATATTTTAAATAGGACATGCTCAGCAAAATATTAAACAATAACCAAACACCTTTATCATTGCCAAGAAAGTTTATTTAAAACAAACTTTCTCAGCAATGATAAAGGTGTTTGGTTATTGTTTAATATTTTATTTATTCATGCATACTGGATACTCCTTGATGCAGGGACAAAAAAAACACGCTTATATACAATGAACATAAGATCACAAACAAAATTATAGAATAATAAATTATACAAATAATAATTTAAATTTAAATTAAGGTTTAAAATTGAAATGTAGTAATTAAAGTTTAATGTTTGGGAGCATCTATCAATAAAATAAAACAATCAAAAATAAGCAAATTGCTTGCCTATAAAAAAATAAATAAGTTAGTAAGAAAGACACAGCACTGACAGATGCTCCCAAACAACACCAGCAATAAGGCCAAATTTATAGTAGAGGAATCACATCCCCTAAAACAAAAGATCAACAGATTTTCTTAGAAAACGAAACACTTTAAATTGATAACGTGGTTCCAATAAAATATTAAGAAATAAAGACCTGGTAAGAACTTCGCAACCAAAAAATTTCTTCACGTAACACTTTAACACACCCACATTTAGCCAAAATATGCCAGGCATCCACAATTTCTTTCTCAACACAAAAGTTACACAATTCTTGTTTTAATATATAAAAAATAATTCAGTAATTTAGGCTTATATTTTGAATTCAAAATAATGTGATGTTTAAAATTGTTAATACTTTTTTAATTAAATATTTTAGCTTAGTCTTTTGGAAAACTTACATTTGATATATACAAAATCTGACACAATGTTATACATTTTTAAGTTCTTACATTGTTGTTATGTGTATATTGTCAACTGTCAAATTTCAATATATCACATGCATTAATATTTTCTTGAATAAAATCTATAATTTAGTTAAGACAGACTGTATGACCTTCCATATAGATCTTGTTAATCTGGCACCTATGGGACTGGGTTTATTGTAGCCAGATAAACAAATTTCTACTGTACATTATTACATAAATTTATATTAGGAACTGTTAAGCCCTGCTATTTAATGTCTGGAATTTTATTTCAATAATTTTGACATGTTCACAAATTAATACTTTGACAGTTGATTATCTAATTATTTAAAGATAAACAGTAAACAATATTAAATGATAAAATTTAATAATTATTGTTAATTTTGCATTAGTTAATTATATAATTATAAATTTTTATTTTGAATTAGTTATTATAATTATAATTATTATCATTTTACTTTTCTAAGAATTTCTTCAAAGATCCCTGGAATACGTTTGATTTAATAACTGTCATTGGAAGTGTGGTGGATGCAGTTCTTTCAGAGGTATGAGTGTATTTCAAAATAAATATTTTTTTTTAACTTTCAAATGTTTGTAAAAATTATATTGTTTTAAATAAACATATAAACTAAATAATCAGATATCATAATTAATTTAAATTGATAAAAAATAAACTGTTTTATTGGAGCCCACTCTACATCAATAATCCAAATATTATCTGTTTTCAGAGAAGACACTCACAAAAATAAAATAGCATAAATATATGTACCAGGTATATATAGTATTAATTTAATTTTGTATATATGTCACATTTTATTCACAAAGATTAATTTTTAGTTGCAGTTGTGTACTTTAATAAAAGATGTGCACAGACAGTTTGCTCTTTCAAAACCAATAGTCAACTAACTTTATTTCTTTTTGTTCTTGCTTAAGCAAGGACTCACAAATTGTTACCATTAAGTTAATTATAATCATATGTACAGAACAAATCACTAGAACAACACAAATGATATAAAACAAATGTAATACATTTCATTTATATGTACTTATGGTATTAATGTAATGTTATAATCTACACTAATATTATAAAGAGGTAATGTTTGTAAGTTTGTATGTAGGGGTAATCTCCAAAACTACTCATCCGATTTCAAAAATTCTTTCACCAATATTTAGAATGAAACTTCAGGGTGGACATAGGCTGTATATTATTCCGTTAAACATTCATATAAATTAAAAGATATCATCTAGGGTTAAGGCTTTTATGTCCAACAGATGGCACTATGAGTACGACGCCCTAAGTTTGCTTTTCTGTGAGGCATTATGCTTTTCTGTGAGGATGAACTAAAGCAGATCATCATCTATCTATCTATATAAATAAAAATGTAATGTTCATTTGTTCCTACCGATTCCTTTGAAATTTTGACACAACGCTGCATTCGAATACGCATGTGTTTTTATATAATATACGTGTCGAAATTCCCCCACTGGAGGGAGATGGGCAGGATTAATGTAAAGAACTTGGCTTCTATTATACTATTTTAGATGCGGTTTTTTGCGTTTTTGATTGTGTTTTAATAGGGTACGTCAAGAGAATGTACACTAAGAAGGGATTTTTCGAAAAATTCCCCCCACGGGGGAAGTGTTATACATTTATAATAGATACATTTTGAGCCACAACAACGCATGTCGGGGTCTGCTAGTAGTTAATAACATCAATGCTCTATATATAGAAATATATAGTTTCAAAATCTTTGGTTTATCAAGTCCTGAGATACAATGCAAATAGATGCCAACACAGAATTTTTTTGAGGGGATTTACATTTTTGGGCTGCTGGAGTGTCAAAACATCAAACATTGCAAAAAAAAAACTGAGAGGTTCAGAATTATCTACCATATTTTTCTTATGCAATATTTTGAAACATCTGGGAAAGTAAAAGTATATCATATTTTAAACTAATGTGAAGTTGTAGATTTATTTATTAATACTATATCTATAAATATATTTATCTATGAAAGAAAACTGAAATTATAATTATTTGTAAACAAATATTAATTAGAATTTTATCTAAATTTATTTGATTTTGTGTGTTTTTCTTAGACTGGAAGTGTGTCAAAACAATTCAGTGTTGGATTTTTAAGATTATTTCGTGCTGCCAGACTAATAAAACTTTTAAGACAAGGTTATACGATACGAATATTACTTTGGACATTTGTTCAATCTATCAAAGTAAGTTATGTATTTTTTTTTATAATTATAATATAGTTTAATGTTTTTGTGTAAAAGCCTTTGGCCTTTCAGAATTTTTTTAAAAAGTATATAAAGTAATATAAACTTTTCATCAAATTTTTATATTCAGCTATATTTTTCAAAATCAGAATATCAAATAAAATTATTTTTTATATAATATTGATGTGTATCAATATTATTATATATAAAAAATAATTTGCTGTGACGAGAAAATTTCAAAGTATCAAAATTACTCAGCTTTGCAGATCTACAAATACAATTACAAATGCTCTTCAACACACAAAACTATTAACTTTAATTTTAAATCCAGCAAACTTTAATTCAACTTTAACAAACATTTTTTCTAATAATAGATCTGCTTCAGGTCAATAAAGCTTAACATCTAATTCTGGGATGTACAGTGTGTAAGACATTTTCAGTTAATCACTATGATGTCACAGTACCACTTACTGCACTAGTGGACATTTTTGTAACTAACTTTTTTGTTTTCAAATAAACTTCCATTACCACAGAAGTCTGTACATGAAATATAATGTCATTCTGCTGATTAGTTTCTTATTTATATTTTTTTGAAATGTGAACTTTAATTATGAACACCTTATATATAAACAAACATTGCTAAACCCGATATATAACATAACTAAACACCAACCATATGCCGAAAATCTATCGGCGGGCTAGTAAAACTAGCCCGCCGATAGATTTTTGGCATGTGGTTGGTGTTCACCTTGTATATAATCATAAGATGATGAACCTAACAAAGCTATACCTCACAATGATCATTTTTATTTATTTTCTATTTCTATTAGTGTCTTTCTTGTTCGTGTTTATAAGATTATCATCTGATACATTGTACATTTATTATTCTAAATGTTCATGATCATATTGCCTTTAATATGTCATAATATGAATAGATTAAAAGATTAGAACAGATTAATGAAAGCTATTTATCCAGTACTATAAACTTCTAAAAATCTGTCATAAAATAAATGTATAAACCTTAAATTGGCCTTGCAGATAAGTGAGCTTTTGATTATGAACATTTCAGTCCACTTCCAAGATCTTCCTTAAGTATATTCATTCAAAAATTGAAGGGATATATCTGAAGATCATCTTATCTTCAAGGTCAATTTAAGGTTTGTGCATTTATTTTCACTTTTTGCCTTATTATTAGAAGATTAATTTAATCTATGCCATATTTTTATTGATTAAGTTTTTTGCTGATAATAAATAGTATTAAAATGAAAGTGAGTGATCTGCAGACATAGATGTGACTGTTATAAATGTTAAATGATTTAACATGTTTGGTTTAAATTTAAACTGCAAGCGCTAATACTTAGATTTTCATGATATTGCTTTGATTTAATTAATATCATTTATATATTTTTATGTCAATCTCATTTTGCAACTGCAAATTATTTAAGCAGAAAAGATCAATCTAAGAGAAACTGTAATAGAATTATTATTGATATAGTGCATAATATTTTGTAAAATGATTTATGCTCACATAAAATTTAGACATTATAGTTCCTATTTTTAATAATTTCTATTAAACATCCATTCACCACTTATTGATTAAGTTGGAGACTTTATCAAGCAATCTGCTTGATAAAGTCTCCAACTTATTATTGTAATTCAGTGAATAAATTTTACACTAGTATTATTGGAAAAAGTTATTTCTGATAATTTCTATCTCAATTGATCAAAAAAATGTCACAAAGAGAGGTAACAAATAAAAATTTTGTAATAATTTGTAATAGAAAGCATGATTGGATGAAGGTGTTATGTAAAGTGACCAGATTTTAACATTGGTGAAGTGGGACAAAATTGAGGGGGGAGTGGTTGTCTTGTTGAAAAAAATTGTTCTGGAACAACCAAATTTTATCATCAAAGAATGCAAAAATTGTATTGTATTATATTTTTTTTAATAAACATTTGTAAATTGTAAATTTCAACATATGTAAAATTTACAAATATAATAAATTTATATACTATATGACAATTTTAAAGATTTTAAAAAATTTATAAAAGTACCTATGACAAACTATATTTTAACAATTATTTTAATCCTTCTGTATTTCTTTCTAAATAATAATAATACTAACTTGTTTTATTTTTCCTCTGAATTTGCCTTGAATGTCACTTTATTATTGTAATTTTTTTATTATATAATACTGTTGTAACCAAAATGAATCCAGCCCCACTGCTAGCAATAGAATGATACAAACTGATGTGCTTACTCTCACTAGTCATAGCTTTCTAAGGTGGCAACAGACAAGAGCTCTGTGCCATGTAACAAACAAAATATTCACTCTTTTGGAAAGCCTGTAAACATGCACTGCTCCGTTGCTGCAGAAGCGCACCCTAAACCATTTTCTGCCGGTCTTTACTGTGAACACGAAGGGTTTTGTCGGCACAGCATTGTTTATTTCCAATGCTCACGCACACCTTGGTACTGATATGTGTGATACAAAATGATGATTATGAATCTTAAACATAAGATATACGTTTATGACACATAATTGACAAAAACTTAGTCTTTCCAAAACTTGGGACAAACAAATTGTTAAAAACCAGGATTGTCCTGCCTAAAGCAGGACATCTGTTCACCTTAGTGTTATGTTATGGTCATTTAAAATTTTCCTGCATGGATGGTGTATGCATTTCTTTCTCTTATACCACCAACAAAAGTCTCAGAAATTAAACGACACTGTAACACTATTCTGTGGATATATTTACACCAAAATAAGAACACAATAAAAATTTGAAAATGAATTTACTCAAAACTTTGATTACATAACACTTTCATCCACTCATGTCTTCAATTATTTTATTTATTAAGCATTAAAATAATGAAATTAATTATTTTATATATCACTGTTTCATTTAAGTAAAAATTTTGTCAGTAAAAAATTTGTTTGATTAAACAAAGTACACATGTAGATTTATTTCAGTGTAATTTAGTTATTTCAAAATATAATTAATATAACAAATAATTCATTTAACCTAGAATATATAGACTTAATGAATAAATCTTATTAATTTTAAATAATTTATATAAAACTCAGAAATTATAACCAAAACTTACTTTATACATTTAGTTATTTATTCTGAATGCATTTTATGCACTTCCCTAGTCTTGAAATTTGGAAATTAAGTACCTCTTACTATATTATGATATTATTCAAATAAAATTTACTGATTTACTTTTCTAGGCACTGCCATATGTATGCTTGTTGATAGGCATGCTGTTTTTCATCTATGCCATCATTGGCATGCAGGTAGGTGTGTTTATTAATAATAAGTCGCATCGTCCATCTTTTGATGTTATTCGGTAATAGACAGCCGCATGGCATACCAATTGTATTTAGATTGACAGAAAGAAAAGGTCTGTGGTAGCATATGGTGATACTGCACAATGCCAATACATCTGCGTGTTAGCACGTGGCTGTTGAGCACGTGTATTTATGAAATCTTCATCGTGTTTCCTTGGTCCTTTGTCCAATCATATCTGTAGTGGACATTCAGGTAGTGGACCAGTGAAGAGTAGATGGAAAATACATATTTAGATCATATTCATCCTTGATAACTTTGTTTTTTCCCCTTTTAATTCTTCTGTTAATATTAGATACTCTTCAGAAATTGAAAATTCAAAGAAATTAATATTTTTTAATATTCAGGGTACATAATTTTATTTCAAAAATTTTGTTCATTTTTATTTATAAATTATTGATTTATTAGAACCATACAGACATTATTATGAGAAATCTTGCTAGAATTTATTTATTTTTTCTTAAATTATTGTAACATTATTTTAAGAAATTGTTCAAACTATGTTTAAAAATATAAGTTACTTTTATTTTTTGCACCATAATGATTAAAAATCCAAATTAGCACTGCTTCTTGTTAAATAATCAAGGATTTATTTAAAATGATAATGTTTGCAGTTTTTAATTGCTTTTGTGAGTCATTTCTTCCATAATTAAAAGTTTTTCTAATTTTAATAAGATTGGTATTATTTTTTTTGTGATATCATTGATCTTGATATCTTCAATTATGTGAAGATAGACATTATTTTATCTAAAACTGATAATTAAGACCTTAAAAGAACATATAATTTTGTAAATCATTTTTTCAATAGATAATTCTCCTGGCATAACAAATTTTTTAAAGTTTTTGTAGTCACTTCAAATCTTATTTATAAATATAAACATAATTTATAATTAGGAATTGAAGCAATTTATTTGTTTTTCTATTAAATAAGTACTGAAAGTAAGTTCAAAAATCTGTTTCCAGAATATTAATGTATTTTATCAAATATTTTTTAATGATATTTGTATTCATCATCAGGATATATTGTTGAAGTTAAATTTTTATTTATATATTTAGGTAATATGAATAAAAACATGCTAATTCAGTGGCTTTTATCATATCTACAATTTATATTACCCAAAAAAAGCAAGCCTTGTCATCAAAAATTACTACTGCCAACATTAAAGCAGCAGTAAAAAACAAAAAATAAATAAACAAAATTAAATCTTTTACCAGTTTATTTTTATTAATAAAAACTTGAACACAAAGTATACACTGATTTTATTGAAAGTTTCTGCTGTTCTAAAAGCTTGTGAGTGACCTAGTATCTGCCTAGACAGTTATTTTTATATCATATTATATAAACTAAACAGAAGAAAATAAAATTTAAAGAATATAAACCTAAAAAACATATCTCTTATAAACTATCACTGCCTTGGTCTGATGAAGTTCATGGTCAAAAAAGTTCATTATTCATTTATTTTTATGATAGAACTATATCAGCAAAATTTTATTTGCTGCTATACTTATATCATGATTCATCAATTTATTCTCATATAGCAATACTTGGCCATCAATCAAACCAATGTACCAATTGGCTTTACAACAAATGAAATTCATAATTTTTGCTTATACATTTAGATTATACAAAAAATTTAAAAAGTAGTATTAGAAATGAATAAAAAACGTTGGTAAAAATTGGCAGGTTTTTAAATTTTGTTTTTAATTTGAAATGAATTTTTCAGTTAGTTCATCATATATAAAATATGATATTCATATAAATTAGTTTAAGATAATTTTAAGAATAACTTACAAAAAGAGTTAAAATGATTTTCCAAACAATTTTTCACACAAATAACTAATTTCAAATCAGTAACTGTAACTGTAATTTAAATTAAAAGAAACCATACTTCTTGATTTTGATTAGTGTTATAGCTTACTTTTATAAGTCTCTCTAATTTTCTAGTAACTCTCTAGAATTACATAATATAAAACAAGTAAGCATGTTCTTACAGTTTTAATGACTTCAAAAGGCAAACTTGTTTCTATCTAATGTTTTCAGAATAATTTTCTTTCTAGTTCCATTATTATATTATTAATTCTCCACTAATTGAATTGTTTTAAAAATTGGTTTTGTCATTTATGTGTAAGTAGAAATAAATTCAAGTTTTATTTTTTGATGATATCATATGTCCTGTTTTTTTATTATATTATTGACATATTTTTTTATTCAAAAAATTTTCTTATTCTCTATATGTTTGTTTATTTTAAATGATTAATTTAATTAATTCAATAATCAACAACGTTCATAATATAACTATAATAATGTAAAAAAGTTTTGTATTAGAAGAAACTGGACAAGTTTCTTATTTAATAATAATTATATATCTGCATCATAGGTTATAGTTATTTAAGCTAAGAATTGATGTTCTCTTTTATTAGTTTACATGTAGTTCATTTGCAAAATATTTGTAAAAAAAAGAAACAAATTATGATAATGACTTATAGAGAAAGATATACAGAATAGTTATAGATTTATGTCTATAACTGTGTGAATTTTTAGATAGCATATTAAAACAGTGTCAAATGAACTGCCAGATTATATCAGGCTAGAATATTATGACTACTGTTAATAATTAAATACTAAATAATTTTCCTACAGGTTTGCACTTAAACCACATTTCTTGATAAATTTAGAATACCTAAGTTAATAATTAATATTTAATTTAAAATTTCTAAATTATTTATAATTAATAAATTTATCAAGAGATGGTGGTATGACACCTACCGTTAAGCAAAATTACTTGTATTCAATTATCAATAGTAGCCATATGCTAGCCTGATATAATCCAGCATTGCAATTGGCATTTATCAAATAATTTGTATTTGCTTATTTAAACAATTAGAAAAGTCATTTCATTTAATAAATTTGCCTTTTTTCTTTTATTTTCAAAATAATATATAGTAAAAATGGACACATACCAGTTATAAAATGTTGGGAACATTTCAACAAACTATTCAATAATTTTAATGTTTTGTTGGTTATAGCAGTTCATGAAATTATATAAATTTTATCTATAAAAAAATTGGTAGAATTTATATTTGTATCAGTTCTCATTCATAAAAAAACAATTATAAATATACATTGTAAAAATGTTTTGCTTAAATTATAGTTGATTACAACCATAATTTGAACAAACAATATCTTAAATGATATACCTCTGTATAGCTAACATAGATGTTCTGTAGCTCTCCTTTTTTGTAGCATATGCTCAACTAAAAGCCCATTGGAAACTAATCTATAAAAACAAACATATTAAATAATTTAGATATTAAAATTTGGGATATACAGTAGAGTGTCGTTTATCCGAATCAATTGGGGACTGGGGTTGTTCGGATAACTTATTTTTCGGATAACCGACTATGTATGAAAAAATATATTAACCTATCCCATGTTGAAATTTTTCTCCGTTGCATGTCGCTTCGCGTTGAATTTTCGTCGAAGTTATGCCTAACGTAAACGTTTTAAAATAATAATCGTGGCTATTGTATCATTAAAAACTATTTTTTTTATTTTTCACAAACAAAATAAATATATTGAAAAATATAAAAACAAAAAAAATTATACTTTAGAAGTTAATCTAGTATCAAAAACGTTCGATTCAGCATGACACACAGTCCTCAGAAAAACACCACACAAAAGTGCCAGTGCTGCCAGCTAAAACACACACATCAACAAAAAAATATTGGAGTAGTCCAAGATATAGCCAAAGATTGCAGCACCACAGCACTAGCGAAAATTTAAATTTGCCGACTGGAATTCTTTCAGATAACCGACGCTCTACTCTATAATTACAAAAAAAAATCACTGAAAATTTTCTAGGTTGTAAGGCCAAACTTATGATTTAATAATTACAAAATTAGTCTTATTTAGCCTAATTATAATACACAGATTTTCACTAGTCTTTAATAATTTAATGTTATTTAGATTTCTGTATTTAGAATAAATCAAATGCTAATGCTACTTGTTATATTATTTCAGCTAAATATTGCATAAATTTTTAAATCTAGAACTTTGTTTTCAAGAATTAATAACTATTAAAGTGATATTGATTATGCTTTAGTTAAGCAGGATTAACTATTATATTTTCCTGTATCTATTGTGTTTATATTATCTATATTAAAAAAATTTAAAGTTGTAAAAAATTAAAGATGCACATTACAATGGGTTAATGGGGTAATATTTTTAAATTTTTATTTAAAAATATACATTAAAATTCATCATATGATAAAATTATAAATGAACTGAGATTGTCAACAATTTCAATATGTGGTAACATATGCTTTTCAAAATCTATACTTAATGTATTTGACTCAGTTTTGTTGCTCATGCTCCTTTGATTTTAACATATGAAACAAGTTTCATAAATGAGCATTTGTAAATTTCCAAATATCAATGAGTATCCAATCTTTCCATTAAACAAGGTTTTGATTTATTGACATATGAGTTGAATTACTATAATTTCTTATTATTAAATATTGTATATAAGCCAATTTGATTGTTAGTATCCACTCTAAATATTCACTTGTTTCACTAAACTTGCATGTAATAAGTAGATGTTATCATGTCTGCCATTTACATTATAAAAAGATAAAATTAACAAACGAATAAAGAAAATTAATAAAAATTAAATTGGTGTAAAAAGTTAAAAACTTATTTTAAGCTTTAGAGATAAAAAATATGTTAGATGTAGAGATAAAAAATATGTTAGAATTTTTATAAATTTGATAAGATGATATCGGGAAACATAAAAGTTGGAACTTTTACATTTTCTGAGGATTTCCAAGGATTTGTTATAAATTCAGAGTCAAATGACTAAAGGACAAAAATGTAAAACTTCATTACTATGTTGTCTATAATAAAACAGACAGAAAAATCAATTACTAATTAAGAATGATTTAACTTATA